ATGGTGTTTCTGTCCCAAACCACAGCAGATCAATGAAAAAAAAAAAAAAAGCTTTGACCTCAACTGTCAGCCGACAAACTCCTTACCTCCGTGCTCATTTCCCTCTCGCTGTGGAAACAGGAAGTAAAGTGAATGTAATCTACAAAAGTGCCTAAGCCTGTCAGCGAACAGCTCAGTCGCGCGGGTTGTTTGTCTTGCATGAGCGGCTTTGGGTTAACATGGACAGACGTGGCCATTCATCGATTCCTCTCTGAGAAAATCATGTCACGTGAAGCTGTTAGTCATGATATTTACCCCAGTGATGGATCTGTAGCTTCACTGTATGTCCAGGGAATATCTATAAGCCTCCTATAGGGCCTCTATGACACGTGTGCGAGCCCTGGAATTTCTCCTTCGCGAGCTCAGTCACTTCTTCTTTTCCCTGTAGAAAAGCAGCTTGTGAGGAGAATATAACGGCTGTGTCCGAAAACACCCACTCACCATGTAGAGGACTAGAGAGTGAGCTTATCGGCAAAAGAAAAAAACACTTTTGGAAACTACTCTGCACGTTTTCTCTGTGCCGATAATTACGTCATTGTCGCAGAACTATGAGGTACAACCACAACCTCAGCCGGTGTAAAATCCCATAATAATTCTTTAGTATTAATACTTTCAGGTAAAAAGCACGTTGAATGACGTTTAAATGTAAAAATAAACTTGTTGATGCGCTCCTCTGGGATAATTCTGAGATTTTTGACATGAATGAGAAGGGGTCTCCAGGCTGAGACGTGCTGTTCTCTCCATAATTTCTCTTCCTGTAAACACCACAAACGCAGCGCATCAATGTTAGATATTGCTCGGTTAGACTCCATCGGTTGCACACTCCTTCAGGATGCATTGTGGGATACAAGACATCCATTGTATAGGGTATTTATACAATACATATACCATACAGTGATTAGTGAGTGACACAGCCAATGTGTTTTTTCTTTAAGGACAGAAAATGGAGAGATATTCACCAAAACGGAAAAAAATAAATCTTCCGTGACCTCCAGCCAAGTATGTCAAAGAATTGTATGCGATAATATGACAACTATAAATATACACAAAGGAACTGTCAGCAGCTTATCACGTTTTATTTATGCCAGGATGGTGCTGATGAGATTATTGTGCTCTGCTCCTCCAGCGCTCTCACCTCGTCATTAATGCCAACGGCTCAACTTTTAGAGGGAGGATGGAGTTTTCGTGCCTCGCGGCTGGTTTAAGCATGAATGAGTGTCCTCTCCTTCCCCCTGTGATTCATGGAGGATCGTGGCCACCACTCAGCAGGTATTTAAATACGAGGATAACAAAGAGAGAGGCACACAGATTATCTCATGACAAACCCCAGTTGTTTTTTCTTCTGTGATGATATTAAGAACAGAATAGAGATAACACACAGAGAGCAGTGTGAAACGCTGCAAAGGAATTTAGCAAATGCAATGTTTTGCCCTGTGAATAATGTCACAACAAGCGGCGTGAGTCGTCTTTGCAGCCCTTTAGATGATGCAAACCACTGATGCGGTTCAGAGTAATGGTTTCTCTCTGCTTGGTGAAGTATTCACAAGTTCTTTCATTCATAAGAAAACATTTCTAAACAGGCTTCATGTTTTCACTATATCTGTTATGTCATTGCATAACAGGATCTTTTTCAAACTGAAGGCGATTATTTATAAGGTATTACATTATTTTAAATCATCATCTGGTTTTATCTGGATTTCTAAAGTTTCAGCTCATATGTCGAGAAATGTTGATGATTTTTTTCTATGTTCTCTGTATCATATACAAAAGGTAAACACTGCAAGAGCGTCCCCAGTTAAAGAGGCAGCTGGATGTCATGGAAGTATAGAAATATTTATATTTAAACTCCTTCAAGGAGATTACGTATGTTTTCATGATGTAAAACCAATGGATGGATTAATATGGATTGTGGCTGCAGATCCAAATAAAAATCAGGATCTAGTGAATTTAAATGTGGCTTCATCAGGGGACTGCTGGGCGTTGGTGGAGGTGTCTGTTCTCTACTGAGCACCATTGTGGTTTGAATACAAACTAAATGTGCTGAGGCTCAGAGCCCGAACAACGACAAGTGTACAAATTGTTAGGTAATGTTTTCATTGCTGTTTGTCTGTTCGCAGGATTATGCAGAAAACTACAGAACTGAATTTATTGAAAGAGGCTGTTAGGACGAGGTCATGAGCCAAGAAAGAATCCATTTACCTTTGGCGTGGATCGAGACAAAGGAGCGGATCCAGGAACGTTTTATAACCTTCTTTTACAACTTTTCACCAGTTTCCAAGAGAATAAATCATGGATGGTGATTAAAAAGATCAGGGATGGCTGATACTTGTGACTGGGTGCAGTTTGGTGGAGACCCAAATAAAGATTTGAATCTATTTTATTTATATGTGGTTTCATAACAGGGCTGTTGGTTCCTCCTCGTACACTCTGCTGTACGGACACTGTGGCATCAGCGGGGACGAATGTCAGTGAAAAACATTGCTTGAAGTCCAAAATGTCCATTTTCAATGGATTTCAGGAGGAAACAGAGTCAAAGAATTATCTTTATCTCCCTTGGCCGAAACTAAATCAGAAAAATAGATAAAAAACCGACGAGTGTTTTCACATGAAAGCATCAATGTGTTATGAAGGAACTCTTTCTAAACTTTATCCCTCTGAGCACATTTAACAGCTGTGTCTGAGATGCAGACGCAGCGATTAGGAATGGCTGTGCTCCTTGGTCGCCGCTCAAAGGGAACTTCATCTGTCCTGTGCTGTGTATTCTTCACTAACAGAAACACCATGGAAAAGTAATCCTGTTTGGACAAATTCACCCTGGCTCAAAAAGTCAGCAAAAAAGAAGGAGGAATAAAATCCTCAACATTGTGAGGACAGAGGATGACACGGGCGGTCGAGGCCAGCGACTAACCAGTGGGCTGCTTGTAAATTGGGTGACTTTGGGGGATCTACGTCACAGAGGACCTTATAGCTGAATCTCTAAATCACGACAGGCTCTTTGGAAACACTAATTACGCATTTCCTCCTCACATCTCCAAACACTGCAGCACTTGTGACCTTATCTCTGGGGCTGTCAGAGTGTTGGCGTCCACATGGCAAGTGTGGTGATGAATGTAATTACCGGGGCCCAAAATAATAACACCACTGTCTTGGAGCCACCAGCAGCCAGTCAGTCAGTGGTAATAAGACCCCTCCTCCAACCCACCTCCTTCCCCTCCTCCAAATTAGTGCAGACGGGGACAGAAATAGAGTTATTATAGGTCTGGATCTATGGGAGGAACATATAGAGAATATGTTACAGAGGCAGGGGGGGGATTTATACTTCACTGGATTTAATCTGTCATGAAAACACTCAGTAATCCTATTACAAAGTTTATCACAACTCCATAACTTCAAAATTATCTGTACCAATGTTATTATACTGTGAAGCAGTTTGAGTGGTCATCAAGACTAAAAATGCAATAAATATATAAATATATATATAGGCTATGAATTGCAAATTAGAATGTTTCCATTTTCATTTTGTTCGTCTGTTTGAAATTATTAAGCTTTTACTTTGAAGTTCTTGCACTGTTGCATTTTGTTAATAATTTATTCTGGTGTTTAAACACCAGAAGAGTTTGTAAACCCCAGATCACGAAGAATGACTTTGAATTGTTTTGAAATATTCTTCTTGCTTTTTAGCACAGGACAGTAAAGTGCACTTATATTTCCTGTTGAGTGTTTTATACATCATAACACAATAAAAGAAACATCCTACAAACCAGCCACTGAACACTAATAAGTAAACATGTGTCAATTGGGAAATTATTTCTGCTTTTTGAGATTGTATTTATATAAGGTGATGTTTCCAGGGTCAGACAATACATAGAGAGAGAGAGAGAGATTTTTTTTGACTAAAAACCTCCCCCACTTAAAAAGTGTGTTTGCTTATTATCACCTCACCAGGACGTTTGAGCCTCTATGATGACGATGATGACAGTAATGACGATGACGATGATGATGATGATGACGACAACGATGATGATGATGACTATGATGACAGTGATGATGATGATGGTGATGATGGATTTTTCACTAAGGGAGAAGATGCAGTAGATTTTAGATTTTTCTAACAAAGTAATTTGACTCTTTAGGCGTTATGAGTTATAATTACTGAAAGGACAGTATTTTATGCATGAAACATGTCTGGTAGGATTTTTTAAACTAGACCAATGCATATTTTCCAATGTAAATTTGTTTTTTCTATAATGTATTTATTCTTGTCTTCATTTCATATGTTATTTCTTGGATTATGTCCACACTTGTGGGGTACACATACTTTTCAATGTAAAATAATAACAATAATTACAATTATTGTTATTAATATTGTTACATGCATTCATATTATTATTAAGCACATTTTAAGAAACTGGTTTATGTGTTTCACAGACATAAAAAGCAGAAAATACAAAGTGCACTTAGAAGTTAATGCAGGAGACAATGGATAAAACATGTAAATGAAAATAATAATTTTAAACGCATTCTATAAGGAAAGTGAAGTAGTTTGTGGAATAACCACATGAGTGTAACACTCATGTTACATACATGGCTTAGATGTCTGCATATATAATAATTATAATAAAAATACTATTACTATCACTACTACTACTACTAATACTAATAATAATAATAGCAACAGTAATACTACTACTAATAATAAAAATAATAACAAGAGTAATTCTACTACTACTACAACTACTACTAATTATATATAATAATAATATCTAATGATAATGATAATAATACATTTAATCTATGCAGCACACTAAAAACATGCTTTCACTGACTGTAAACAGCCCTTTTATATAAGTTAGCAGTTTTTTAGGTATTCTTTTATTAATTGTATATGTTGTTATTAGATTAAATCCACTCTCATTAGTTACTTACATGTTTTTTAAATCTATGCTTCTATCTCACGGTGCACACAGAAACGGAACGATGTCGCCCTCTTGTGGCCACCGGCGGAAGTCCAGCTCCGGGATGAACTCTGACCCGGAAGAAGTCTGTGGTGTTTTTCTGTTTCTACACGTGTGTCGCGTTTGCTCCACAGCATCCGACCAACATGGCAGCGTGCAGCGCGGAGGAGCTGCTGGCCCAAGCGGAGCGGGACGAGGCGGAGAAGCTGCGGAGCATCACCGTCCACAAGGAGCTGGAGCTCGAGTTCGACGTCGGGAACCTGTTGGCCTGCGACAAGAACCGCATCGAGTCCCGGGACTTCAGGGGCCAGAGGAGAGACGACTTCCTGCGGTCTTTGGCCCGCGACAACACGCAGCTCCTCATCAACGAGCTCTGGAAGCAGCCCACGGAGCGGGTGGAGGAGGCGATCGTGGCCAAGTTACCGGCGCCGGTAACCCCGCTGCCGCGAGAGAAGCCGCCCCCGAAGCCCAGACCCCCGACCAAGTGGGAGCAGTTCGCCAAGCTGAAAGGGATTCAGAAGAAGAAGAAGACCAACCTGGTGTGGGACGAGAATGCCAAGGATTGGAGGAGGCGCTGGGGCCACAAGAGGGCCAACGATGACACCAAGGAGTGGCTGATCGAGGTGCCGCAGACCGCGGACCCCAACGAGGACCAGTTCGCCAAGCGCGTCAAAGCCAAGAAGGAGCGCGTGGCCAAGAACGAGCTCAACCGGCTGAGGAACATCGCCAGGACGCAGAGCGTCAAAGTGCCCGGCGTGGGTCTGACCCCCAAAGCCCAGCAGTCCAAAGACGAGCTGTCCCGAGCCGTGAGCGTGGCCAGGACCTCCACGGCCTCCGTGGGCCAGTTCCAGGATCGGCTGCCCAAGGAAAAGGCGCCGAGGAACACCGGCAAGAGGAGGAAGTTCGAGCCCCTCATCGGCGACTTCTCCGGCGAGAGGCAGAAGCAGCTGGACCTCCTGAAGGTCCTGGGCACCAAGAGGCCGCAGCTGGACATCACCAAGGCCGTGAACAAGCAGATGAGGGAGGAGGACAGAGAGGAGGCCGCCAAGAGCAGGAAGGGAGCAGGGAAGAAGGGACGCAAGGGGAACATGTCAGGGAAGGGTGGGAAAGGAAAGGGAGGTAAAGGTGGTGGAGGAGGTAAAGTTGGTGGAGGAGGTAAAGGTGGTGGAGGAGGTAAATTTGGTGGAGGAGGTGGAGGGAAGAAGAGAGGTAAACCTGGGAAGCGTTGAGGACTCTCACCTCCTGTCTCTCCTGGCTGTGCCTTGACATCAAAACACCCATGATGCAACATTCAAATGACTGATGATGAAGAGGAGGGTGATGATGTGACTGCAGGATGTATGTGGCTCTTCCACCTCATATAAATGGGGAAAAAAAGCTTCAGTGTAAATAAAAATTACATGATTGATTTCACGAATCCAGGATTTATTCATTTTTTAGCAGTGTATAATTGTTTCAGTCCGTTTTCTCAACTTGCCAAACTTCTATTTGTTTTATAGAGTCGTCATCTTTCACTTTGAGGTTGTAAGTTGGTCAGAATGAGCAATTTGTAGATGTCAAATGTTAAAATATATAATTATACACCTGCTTTTTTAAAATAAATGTTTCTGTAGAGTGCAGAAATTTAAATGGGTATTGCTTTTTTTTTATTGTGCAATATAGTTTGATGATCAACACATGTGTGACACAAAACAACAAGATTTAATCACAGCAATGAAGTAAAAATATATAGAAAAGGTAATAAAAAGGATCATGTTTACATTGCAATTCAACCCTATACAAATACAAGTGAATATTAATAATTCAACATGGAACATTTATACATAAATTAATTTATACATTTACGTTTATCATCTAAATTGTTGCAGGTCGTTGTTGTAAAGCACAAACCAGAAAACTACAGTTTGCCTCAGTGTAACACAACTTCAACACAAAATAAAATCAATGCAGCTGTTCTAAGTGATTTTGTTGCATTGAAGCCCAGAGAAAATTACACATTCTTATTGCATCATAATGTGAAACCCTGCCTTTAAATCGTTATATTTACTGTTAATCAAGTTGTTTAAGCAACAGGTTGAACTTTATCATTATGGTCCACGATGTGTTTTTAATACATTCTTCATATTAACTGAACTAAACTGTCCAAACAGATAAATGCTTGAACTCAGGGTCAGTTTTTTCTTCCTAGAAGTAAACATCAGATCGGTTTTTCTAAGCGGCTTAGCTGTGGTTCTGCTTATGTAAAGGCTTTGCTTTGGCCTCGGTGTCTAGACCGAAAGGCAGAATGCTGAACTGGGAGCTGAGAGACGTGTGGCCGATCGTAAGAATCTGGACCTTCAGTGAAACTGTGGGCGTCTGAAATCCCTGGAAAACTCTGAATAACATATTTGAGATGCATATTTCTACAATATTACTCTATAACTAATAGTGTTTGGTCTTTTTGATTTCGTTCAAGTTTTTTTTAGAGCCGTGTGGTTGTTTGTTTGTGTGACTGAGATAATGAGGTGAATTAGTGGCCTCATCCATTTACAAGTGCTCCTCTTTCAGACGCTGGGCTAACAAACTTGTTGAGCTGCTAATCCGCGGCCCTGCTTCAACCTGATCCCTGGTAACAGCTTGTAATTCATGCACATTTTATACGTAGATCATAAATCATATCAAATATACGTTATTGTCCTCACGGGGACATTTTTCTTGGGCCAACGTGCTACAGCAGCTGCAGGACAGTAACAAACCAGGACATATTGTGTGAGACCCAGAATAATAATGCAGAATAACTGAGGTGAATATTGCACCCGCCCTGAAAACACTCAAAGGATTCAAACTCTAAAATGATTGTTGTCCAGCCAGAGCTCAGAAATGACCATGTGTGTCGCTGATCTCTCATGTTATTGATGGATGCTCTTTAATCGCAGCTCACAGCCAAGGTGGTGGTGATGGTGGGGTGGGGGGTGCTTCAATCACCATCTGTTGAACAATCCGTCACCCTGCACCCCCCCACACACAGCCACCATTCATCTTTGTCCCTGCTCACCCAGGCCCATGGAAAATGGGCCACAGTCAATAAACCCAAATCAATCAGGCTCTGTTGATGAGGGGGAAATTATGAGTTCTCATCCACGTCAGACGGACAGTGGCGGCGGCCTCCGAACTTATCTCGCATGTGGCCAGATGGTCAAACAACAATAGGGATGAAGATGAGGTGGTCAAGCATGAGCTCGGGGATGAAGGCCGCCTTGATTCCCACATGCAGCTCAACAAAATGTTGATAACAGATCTGTTTCTGCAGATATTTCACATTAAAACCCAGGTCTGTTTCATAATCTTACACTTTTCTGCTCTGAACTTAGATTTTCTTGAGTGTGTGTCTGTCCACTCTTGTGCATGCTTGTGTGTGTGTGTGTGTGTGTGTGTGTGTGTGTGTGTGTGTGTGTGTGTTGCCTTCCAGGGAGGATGTGTTGTTGCTTGTGTCCAGCTCCAGTCAGCGCTGCAGTGGATTAGTCAGCTGCATTTATTTTAAGGTAGTGCTCAGAGAGAGTGAGCGCAGGAGCCTCGGCCAGTGTGCAAGTTGCAGATCTGCCGAGATGCAGCACATCTACATGCACAGCCATGAGCACTTTGAGGTCTTCACCACCGTCCTTGCTCCACAAGGTGAGTGGAATCACATCTGCAGTGAAGCGTGGCGCAGCATGACATTATTTGCAGTGAGAGGAAGGAGGCGTTTCAATGTCAGGTGAATGAAAACTGATGTAAATCTGTTTTGTCTGTGTGAAGCGCAGAGCTGCAGGGACAGACATGTGCATGCATTCATGTGAAGAGGATCAGATGTGCACTTGCAGACATGGCAATTGATGAAATAAGCTTTTTTTTTTCCTGCTGATTCACAGGGAGGTGTCGATACAGGGCAGAGGCTGAGAAGGCAAGTTAACCATTCACACAAACATCCATTCACTGATAGAGAGCTTCAGTCTTTGGCTGCATGTTGTTAATCACATCCACTTTTTAATCCCAGAAATCCAAAACAAAATTTCCTAAACCCCATGTGTTGCATCTGTCCCATACTGATTGATATGAGTTTGACATTGAAGTTATGTAAAGTCAATTTCCTGCAGCTCCATTATGTGTCTCATTTGTCTAATTCCCGGAGCTGTATTTAGGCGGAACACATAATGAAGAGTAGACCCAGATTTAGGGTTTCTATTTCACTGCACAGCTCGTTAATCTCCGAGTCTTCACACTTAATCCTCTCCATTCACTGAGTGCGACCTGTCGACTGCCAAGTGCACTCGGACTCTGACAACAGCTGCAACCAAACAGCAGTGCAACAAACACCTGATCTGAATGATTTGAAAAATGAATGAATGCAATTTGTGGTAGAGTAAAAACGCCTAGTGTCCCCTCTTGTCCATTAGATGGTGGTGGTGCACAGCTACAGGCCCCACTGGCCAGAAGAGCTGGAGCTGTGCCCAGGTGACGTAATCCTGGTGCTGTCCAAGCATGAGGAGGGGAGGTGGTTTGGGTGGAGGCAGGATGGCCAGCAGGGCTACTTCCCCGCCTCCTGTGTGATGGAGCTGAGCCAGGTTGGTTCTGTTTTTTTTCTTTCTGCCTAAATGTGCTCAGCAATGCAGCAGGACTGAGATGATGCTCACTTTTTGTCTCTGCAGTTTTGCTGTGTTATTTAAATTCTTCATTTCATGATCCCCAGGCTTTAACTGTTATTGTTGCATATTCAGACATTTTTAAAAAGAACATACATATCCCCAATGATGTCAGAGTGATATCACCAACATTTCTTCCAAAAACGCTGCATAACAAACCAGAGGTCTGAAGACAAAGAGGCATTTAGGTTCCAGTAAAACACACAGTTGAGTTACAATGTGGGAAGAGAAGGATCCAGTGTGTTTGGAGTTAGATCAGTCAGTTTGGATCAGATTTGAAAACACCACAATGGAAATAAAAAAGTCACAAGCTACAGAGAAATAACTGTCCAGGAGCTCAATAGGAGAACTTGACTAATTTCTTATCCCACAAGTTTTTATTATATTTGATATTTGATTTTCTGAGACCAAATCACCTCAGTTATTATCAACAACATCTGATAACTGCCCTCTAGTGAAGCATCAGTGCACTGCAGGAGGGAGAGGATTCAACACAGCTGACTGATGATTGTGTTTATGTGGTCCTGTATGTATTTGCTTATATATACTAACACAATATGAATATAATCCTACCTGTATAATGCATAAATAAAATACTATATCCATATATAGTGAATGTGAAAACTTTTTTTTTCTTTCAAAATAGTTGTTGTGGGCATTGGCATCATTTTATTCTTTATATCAGACACGTTCAAACGAAGGATCAAGTGGTACAAATACATTTAAAGTCATTGTTCCACAAAAATCTAAATAAAGAAATAAATTGAAGCAAAAATAGAATCTAGAGTTTGAGCTGTTTAATGTGATTTCAGGTGAACAAACTGAGGGCAGATAAAGGAAGATATAAAAAGCAGCGTGCAGGTTATTTTAGCACATCAGTGAAACAGTCTGAACTCAAACGCTTTGTTTTCACTCTCGGTAGAATCTTCCTCCCAGAGGCCTGCAGAGGAGTTTGTCTCTGAGGAGCTCGGCATGGGACAACGACTCAGGTGGAGGACGCAGCAGATATGGAAAGTAAGTGTAAGGTTTAAACTCACACAGCAGCCGTAACACCAAATACACACCCCTCAATAGGTGCATGTACACACACACACACACACACACACACACACACAACCCAGCAGCTGCTCACCACATCCCCCATCACAGAGTCCCATCCCATTGCTCTCCGCCCAGCGCCCCTGAACAGGTGGCCCCTCTCGTCCCTCATTAGTTGACAAAGCACACTGATTACTAAACCCCCAAACACACACACACACACACACACACACACACACACACACACACACACACACACACCAGTTGTTCCCCTCTCACTGCATCAAATTAAGGCCAAATAAAAGTGGGGGAAAGGAAAGGCTTTGTAGTCATTCACCGAAAAGGAAATAAAAATATGACAGAACACATATTTTTATAATAATTTTTTCCTCAAGACAAATATTTAATATTTTTTATTTGAAATTTCAAAGCTGTTCGTCGGTTATAGCTGCTAGAGAAGCTGTTTGATAGGGCGCTGTGACTATCTCGCCGTTTGTGTGAGTGTAGGTGGTGTTCATATTTGACAGCCTGCCAGTAATCTTTGCTTACACACTTAAACACACACAGTCACACAAGCATACACAAACACACACACACACATACACACACTACACAGAACCCTCTGTACAGCCCTGTGCCTGTCTTGTCTACTAGCGGTGGAATTTGGGTCATGAGGAATAAACAGGGCCTTTGTGTTTGTTATTTCCTCTTTGTCCCCCAGTGGACACATCCTGCAGTCGCTCAGGCGGGGGAGCAGAGGAGGTGGGATGGCACTGGATAGGGGCCAGGGCGAGAGCGAGGACCCCTTCCCGGTACTCAGGCCCCTGCAGATCTCGTCGCCTCAGCCTGTGGCCTCCCAGCAGCCTCAGACACACAGATCCCCGGGCCTGCTCCACAGGATTCTGTCCAAGTGCCGGAAAAAGAGTGAATGCCAGGGAGCCACCAATGGGGCCTTCGAGGGCGACTAGGAGGCCCTTCTCTTTATGCTGGGTGGTTCACTGTGGTGGGGCTGCTGCAGGGTCTCGGTGAGAGCGGAGACACCTCTGAGATGTGGAGGACGGGTCCTGGACATCCTGATCTGAGCAAAGGCTTGTTGACTGCAAGAAACAAGACAATACTCCTCTCTATGACACACACACACACACACACACACACACACCAGTTAGTGACGTCACAATAGTGTTTCGTCAATTACATCTGATGGACAGTGCCGGCTGTGACGTCACTGATGAGGGCGGGACTAGAAGTGCAGTGAGCTGAGCAGCTGCTGTTTTCTACCTTGTTATTCAGCATGACAAGTTCAAAGCCAGGTATATGCTACATAAAATAATATATACAATTATACTAAACTAAGATATGATTCAATATATTTAATCACAGTGACAGCAGTTATCTATTTAATCTAATAATTCCACAAATCTCTGTCTGGATGTGGAACGCATATCTCTTTTATCTCATCAGCCTCATACTTGGTTTGAGTATTTGTAAATGTCAGAGGAAGTTTGGTTTGGACAATACATTCAATATTATTACAATTTGAATAAACGGGCGACCCGTGCTTATGAGTGACATTTCGTGTTCATGACAATGCTGACAAGTCATTCTCTGCTTGAGTCAAGCTTCACCAAACTTTGAATGAACTGGTGAGCAGCTCTTTGTGCAGCAGCGGAGGCTCCGGGTTCTGCAGACTGATCTGGTCTTTACTTGCTCACTTCCTGCAGGTCACTTTTACAGTTTCAGAAAGAAAAGCTGCAACCTTCATCACCACAGGCCAAAACCAACAGGCAGGTTTAGAACAGGCACTGCAGCATTAAGTGTAGTGAAGGAAAGTAAGATAACACTTGGTGGAAATCGGTGATGTCATCAGGGTTACAATCGTCTGTTTCACCATTTGTGTTTCTTCCCTTCATCTGTGAATGTGAGTCTGTGTATATGGCTGTGTAATATTATTATTATAGTTATAAAACCAACAAACCCTTCACCGGCTCACATCTTTTTATTCCAGTGGAACATGCCTCAGTATATGACCTCATACCTCAACTCCTGCTCATTTTCCTTTTTGAACACTCGGGGCCTCCCTTCTATTTAACAGCACTGCAGAGAGCGAACTCTCTCAAGCGAGAGGAAGTGTAATTGAGGCCCGCTGAAAACCTCACCGATTGTGCTGGTTGCCCCAGCAACGCCAAGGCAGCTCTCAGAAGTCACGCGTAGTCGTCTTCTTCTTCTGCGGTGCCTCCCCCCCCCTAACAGTGTCTCTATAGGGTAGGCTGTAGATTACATCCCCGCAGAGGACACAAACACAGAGCCTAATCCTCACCTTGGCCTTGACCTCTGCAGGGAAACACACTCCTCCTTCCTCCTCCTCTTCTTCCTCCCCCACTGTTTGATATAATCCTTTGTAAGAAAGGCTGTAGGAGGCAGTCATTCTGGGGCCAGTGTTTGGAGGCAGGGAAGGGTGTAAATGTTACCAGCACAAGAAAAGACAGCTCCACTGGTCCCCGGAGCAAACTGAGATTCATGAGGAGAAGAATAGAGAGACTGTTACTGTTAGATCTTATCTCAGGACGACATAATCTGAGAAGACCTTGCCCAAACCAGACTAACAGGTTTTCCTTAATGTAATCTTCTGTTACGAGATGTGCAGGAATCAGACGTGAACCAAAAGAGACACATCTCTTATCTGATCGCTGCTGGCTCCTCATTTCACATGGGGATTAGAAATCGGTTATCTGCGCCTGACAGGGATTCATTCAAATTCAGATTAGGCCTCATACTTTTACTCTGAAATGCAGCGAGCCCTCAGTCAAACGGGAGCCTGACTTCACCTCACACCGCGCTGACACACACAAGTGGAAACAGTGACCTATATAGGGGCGGAAAGGCCAGGGTCCAATTTTAACACACACACACACACACTGACACACACTAACACACACACACACAGTCCCAGGTCTGTGGAACTCTCCCGCCTAAAAGTGTCCTATCCCTGCTGTTCTGTTCTGTGCCGGGTTGTCTTCTGGGGGACTTGGGGGTGGGGGGGAACAGGGTGCCTGCCAGATGACTGTTCTGTCAGCCTTATAATGGGCTGCCATCTGCTGTCTAGCATACACAAAGGATAAAAGTGTGTGTGTGTGTGTGTGCGTTTGCTTATGTGTGATTGCTCAGAGGAAGAAGGCAGAGGAGATAGATTTGGTTCTGCAGAGTGTTTCAAGTCCTCGGTGGACAAGGTAAACACAAATATAAACATACATTATGACGTCCATTAACACGATGACAGGAGATGTATAAGGAAAGGATGTCACGTTTTTACATTATATTCAAATTAAAGAGATGGAATATGTTATAATTTAAACGTTTCTCACAGTAACAGATTTGTAAATCTAAGTCTGTGCACAACAGGTACCTGTCTGCACATCAATAAGTCACTAGAATGCGAGGATTGATTCCCTTAAATCCTTCCATGAAGCATAAGGTGAAAGGGCTGCTGCCAATAACCAATTAAGAGGCAAAAGGTGCCTGACATCTTTCAGCTTAGTGCGGGTCACCCAAGAACAAAAGACCCTCTTGTACAAGAATGAGAGGGAAGGAAGGGCAGATTGATTAAGTGGACACGGCGTGCATGTGGCGGCCGTGTGTTCATGTGCATTGTTTGTTTGCGTGTGCGCCACTGCTGCTGCTCCTTTTGCGTAAGGCAAGTCTTCACGTTCTCTGCCTCCCTCCATTTGGGGGGCAATTGAGCGAATGGGCCCGTAAAAACCAACAGCCCCGAGGACAAAAGGAGCCCAGGGGCATTAAGTCATGGGTGAGTGGGCCCCTTTAGGGCCAGCAGCTGACCCTGTGGAGAGGCCTCTTGTTCTGATGGAGGGGGCTCGTGTCCCCGGACCCCAGGCCAAGTTGACAGCATCCCAACATATACATGCACGCATGACAGAGGGGGGTTGGGCTCAAACCACTCTATCAGACGTCAAACGCAGGCTTCAACAGTTCACCTGCCTGAGTCAGCTCCACCTGCAGAAAAGTGACTGAATGCAATTAAAAGTACTGGATTTTCTTTTCCTGAAAGAAAATGTCGTTCAAGTAATTCATTTTTGGCAAGAAGTCAAGAGGTTGTTATGCCCGCTGTGAGCATGTCAGGGAAATAGAGAACCGGCAGAAAACTTTATTAAATGGGAAACACCATGTAACATAACCTAATTATTACCTCTGCCAAGGTTATGCTGTTGCCTGCGTTATCGTCTGTCTGTCTGTCTGTCTGTTAGCAGGATTTTCGCAAAAAATAGACTATCATGAAACTTGGGGGAAGGATGTGGTCTGGAAAGAAACCATTAAATTTTGGTGCGGATCCATGTCAGGAGGCATGTTTAGGCTGATATACATGAGCGTGTGCATTGAAGCTAGTTAACTTAAATGTAGTTTCAAGAGGAATGTTGGGCCTTGGTGGAGGTGTGTACTCTCTGGACACATGGAAGAGAAAGAAGGAAATTCAAAATACCACAGAAGTCATGCAACTAATGCATTTATTTTTTTTCCAAATTAAGTACACGGTTACAAAGACAGTTGGCAGGATTTCTATGGTGACTTGGTTATGATTTCAACTGGAAATGCTACAAAACATAGTTGTGAGTCTGTGATTCTGTATTTAAAAGCAGAGTTCAGCATCTTGTGTATCGCTCATGCATAACTACAGTAGTATATGACAAATGCTACCATCGTACTTAATTCCCTCAAAACCTATGATGTTACATGGCCAAGTTTTGTTAACGTACAAACATGTTAACTTGGATTTAATAAAATGGAATGTACAAAAACAAGTCAAAGCAACAAACAGAACAGATATATACAGATTAGACACACACAAAATTTTTTACACAAATGTTGCATGTGGATGTTTCTCTACTTTCTGTTTTAGAGTCATGTACCATTTACTCCGGATATTTTCCACTTGATCTCCCTGACAAGATTCCCTTCTTATTCTCACTCCAACGCTTAACGCAGGATAATCCAGATTATAACTAATACTGGTTCCATTAATGCTGACAATACAAAGACCATTTATAGCTGTCGTGTTACTTAACCAGATTAAAGAAAGTTTCCTTCATGGAACGTGGAAGCACAGTGTTTCCTCAGAATGAAATTATCATTAATATCATGAGTGATCAGGGATTTAGGGTCTCGCTCAAAGGCGTTTCAGCAGGATGCAAGGTCGTTGACACGCTTGCTTTAGCAGTGATCAATTTAGATTCTGTTGAAACAGGATGTTCTGTGTTAGCTGTGATTTTTCTTTGCACAGACATCTTGTCGAAACATGTTTCATGGAAGGTTTATAAGTAGTGTATTTACACAATTCCGCAGCAGAACAGGAGAAATGAACATGTGAAAATCAAGCTGCATGAGCTTAATGTCAGCATTACAAAATCGGGAGACATCCATCTTACACACTCACGCATACTCAAACACACAAATAAAAAGGACAAGAGCTACATCATCAGAACAAACAAGGATTTCGAATTAAATGAGTAAAAAGTGCAATTTGTCTATGATTAGAGGTCAGAGATAGAGTCCTGCTACCTAATAGCAAAGAGCACGTTTGAGTAACGAGAAGAAAAATGACCTATCTATATGTTACAAGAGCACAGAGTCAACTAGACACTGATTATTATTATCTTGCCTGTCCAGGAAAAAAAGAAATTCAACTTAAATTAGTGGCAGTGCACGTTTGTCTAACTTGGAGTAATGGAACTGAACGGTAGCCCAATCCTGATTTTTGAAAAAGACAATAAAATTCTTCAATAATTTCTCTTAAATGATTTGTTTTAAAGAAATAAATAAATTAGTAAACATTAAATAAATAAAACCCACAGCCTTCACATAAAAAGTAGATCCTTCTCCACCCAATGCCAGTTGTAGAACACAAAAGATATGAAAACTGGTCAGTGACGACTGACCGAAGAAACGGTGATTATTCTTCAGAACAGCTTTTAGAGCAAATGAGGGTTTTTCTTCTATTTTTGAGGCTGTTTTGTCAGCAAAGTTAAACTTATTTTTTTTTAAAAACTCATGGTATCTGATTTATATTAATATCTAAGCTTTAGAGCTGTCAGATAATAAATAAAACAAACAGAAATAAACATAAAGGTACCCTTCCATTCTTGAGGTTCTTCCACATGTACATTGCAATGAAATACATTCAACCGATGTCTCGACGGACACTATGGCCTTGAAACGAAATGTGTTGTTTAAAGGAAAAGAAGAAGATACCATCACAAGTGCTATCCAGTTAGCCCTTAAAACACTGCTCCTTTCTCAGCAGCAAAATCGACTCAGTAGTGCAATACTGACAGCTTTATATTTCCATCCCCACAAACTTCACATCACCGTGATTCAGCAATAACACTACTGTCCCTTCAAATGTCTTGTTTTCACACCCGTCCACTTGTTTGTTCGTATGCAAGATTATGCAAAAACTATATATTTGCCACAAAACTTGGTGGAAGGATGCGGTAAAGATCAGTGAAGAACTCGTTAAATTTTTTTGCGAAACCAGGACATTTTATGTCACTTTCTGTACCATAGTGAGATTTGGCATTTTTCAACATTTTCCTTGATACTCAGAGGAACTTGATGAAAAAAGACCAGGCATGTTTAGGGTCCGATATTTATGAGTGTGTACAATTTGGTGCAGATCCAAATAAAAATCTGGATCTAATGAATATAAATGTGGTTTCAAAAGGGCACGGTTGATGGAGGTATGCGCTCTACTGATCGCCATTCTAGTTTTAAATGCTTGCAATGCTTAATATTATATTCTGTACTGTTAATATCTATGTTCACAACCCATGGTGTGATTTTAAAGATACATGGGCGGCAATAAAAAGCTACAGATGTTGTATGTACGGGGCAGCTTAACGAAAACAAGTTGATACACAATGAGTAGCAATACGTCATAAAATGTGTTGCTTGTTATTTAAACAATATATTAACAATATAAAACTCAGAAGCAGCCACTGCTAGTAATAAACACTATTTCTACAGCCTACTGTATGTGCAGGTTGTTTCAACATTTCTAACTAGTGCAGAAAAAATCTAGCCTTTTTTCATATCTGTACAAAACTGCTCATGTAGCCAGGTTTCAAAAGAGAGTACAAGTCAAAGCTGTAAACAACAAACTACTCGGGCAGTGACGTAGAAATGTGTGTTAATAGGCAGCCATGCCTTTGTGTGGACGTCGTTGGCAGTGCATTTCTGTATCAAAATAAAAATCATTTGTCTTCACTGGATTGTCTCTTACAGGATTCAGTGGAGGTTTTCGGTGTTGGGATGGATGTGGTAGTGTTGCCTGCGTAGTAAGGGGACGGCTTCAAAGCACAAGGGCCCTTGAGGTAGAGCCAGACGACGGGTAAGGGTTCAGGTACTGACGGGCCTGTTCTGTCATAATCAGCTGGTCCTCTGTCTTCCCATAAACCACTGCTTCCCACTCACTCACCTGCAGAGAAAATAACCAGCAGTTACTCGAGTAGCTCACTATCCAAAACGACAATTGTTAGAATCACACAATCCTTTTTTAAATATTTTACATCACTATCACTATCTCTGCCACCACTGCTTTACTGTAAATGACCTGCAAATATGTTCCTTTGTGAACAGCTTCCTAGCAACTGAGCAACTGACTTGGGTATTACCTGAACAGCTGTGTGTTTTGCTGCTTTGTGGGAGGGGGAGAGCTTCTTCACCCGCAGGCTCGTAAAGCGATTGGGATGCACAGGAACAAGTGCGGGCTCCTCCCTTTGGCTGCTGCGCTCCTCTTGCTCAGGGGTCAGGGTGACCAGCGAGGAGCTCGTCAGAAGACTTTCCTCCGGCTTCTGCAATATGACATCCCATGAATGGTGAATATTATAACAAAGAAGGATCAAAAAAATGTGTGATGACCCCTAAATTTAATTAAAATTTGTTGTATTTTTACATTTAAAACAAGGGCCGGTATGGATGTTTCAATGGAGCAGGACAAGGGAGTGGTTCCTCCTGGCCCCCACATGTAAGGGGAACATGAGAGCCAGATATCGTGCTCTGATCCACCTCTACTGGGATGTCATTATTCCATCGGGAAAGAGACAAGAAAGCCTCCTCCGAGAGGAAGAAGTAAAAGTAAACAGAGTTGTCAGCTGTGTGCTCACAAGCAGGGTGAGGCATGGTCACCTATCTAGTGGAAGGTGGTTGCAGAGGCTCGATGGAACATCCATCTAGTGGATCCTGAAGACTCTTGGATCACAGGCTCCAAGCTGAGGAATGGTCTTAAAGACCTGAGCGAGGAGGCAAGACAAGGGAGTGTCTGCCTCCGAGGAAAGGACAAGTCATGGGGAAAGCCAGGATCCTAGGTCTGACTGCAGAGGGTAGCAAGAAGACTCCACCACCTCGAAATGTCCCAGGATTAAAGAAGTGGAAGGGTGGCTCCTGGCTGACGACCGTACAGCCGGCACAATGGCACCATTGGACGCACATCACCCCAGTAAAGCTTTAACATTGGTTTTCTCCTCTCGCTACAGGATCTATACCAGTGTTCTTGAATTGACTTACTTCTGTGTTGTTGCGCTGCTCCTGGAAGAGTTGGGTGTTGAGGCAGTCTTTACCCCAAGGGTCTAGCACAAGGGACTTGCGCACTTTTCTAGCTGGGCCATCCATCTGAAAATCAAGGAGCAAGATACAAACAATAAATCTTCTTCCATCAGGGAAGGACTAGAAATGTATTTTAGAGCCATAATTAACTTCTGCAAGTGTTTGTTAAAAGCAGATGAGTCATGGACTACTGACAGACGATGTGCACCCTACACATACATTGTGTTTCCATGCTCTGTAGTCTGGCTGGTTGTCTGCTCTGTTAAAGATGTCTGCTCCGGTCTCCTGCTTCAAAACTTCTCGAATGTCCTCTTCTAGAAATGCTAAAGGCTGCGGCTGAAAAACACAAACAGACACATAAATATAACCATGAACTGAAAGTGTACTGTATGGAGTTGTTGCCACATTTGACGTCTTACCTCCATCTTTAGGGGCCCGTGCATTTTTTCCTGAGCAGCCAAAGCATTTTTGAAAGGAGTCGGTGTCCTTGGGGTTGGAATCATTATAGTTTTACAGAATTTGGGTGTCCGCGAACTAGAAAGGTGACAGAATATTCCACATCGGTTACTCTCCGAACAAACTGATAAAATCAAGATTTCAATATTATTGCAGGAAATTTCCACTAAGCATTTTATATATTTTGGTGTTATTTACCCATCATTCTCCTTCTGGTGCTTAGGTGTGGTTTCTTTGTGGAGCGGCGTGTACAAGAGACACCTCTGGCCACACACAGGAGTTGAGGTGAGGGCAGGGTTATCCAGACTCAGATGTTCCGCCCCTGATATGTTGCAGAACTGTTGAAACAACCACACAAGGCGGGTCAGTCACATGACCAATAAAATCACAAACTGAAGCTGAGCCGAGGCGGGATTATTGTGTGTGAACGGAAAAAAATGATTTCATTTACTCTTGATGGGGTAAATGGCAGTGATTTTGTTGGCGTTTTCTTTGGAGAATTTGAGTTATTTTCCAAGAGAGACGAGCAGGTCCTGTCGCATAAAGGAGATGGTTCTCCCCTCTCTCTCCTCCTCCTCCTCCCTAGGGATGCTTGGGAAGGTTTGGACGAGTTGATGGGAGTCAGGGAAGTGACACTCCCAAGACCAAAGGAAGCACAGTTCTTGTCTCGGCCTGATACGGCAGTGGGAGTGTTGAGAGTGTAATCCATTGAATTATCCATGGTCCTCTCTTGCAGGAGGGTGGTGTAGCCTGCCAGATTGTGCCTGGGCGGGGACGCTGTGTCTGACAGGTCAAAACTGGCCACCTCACTCCACGCAACAGGGTCCTGCAGAGCAAAACACATCTACAGTAGATCTTTAATACATTCAAGAGTATTTTCATATTGAGATACATTTGTGCTGTTGTGCTCCTCCTGTTACTTACGGAGTCAATGAGCTCCATGGTTTCTGCAAACTCCGGTATGGTCTGCAGGGTTGAGAGCACGGTGCTGGCCTCCAATGCCAGGAGACTAGGAGAGATAGGAAGCTGTGCTGGAGGAGCCTGGGGAATCTCAGTGCCCCTCCAGGGTTTTCTCTCTGCCTGCTCCCCCAAGCTGCTGCCACTTGTTGTCAACGTGTCATCGGACAAACTGTCTGACCAGACGGAGAACTGCTCCAAGCTCTGAGGGACAGGAGGGAAAGAACACAGGTGTCGGATCTTTGGCTGCACCAGAGGTTTGGTGGATGGTTTGATGTGGAAATGGCTGCTGTGTAAAACTAATTTGATTTCATTTGTGAAATGATCTAGATGTAAAGAAAGTGTGGAAAACACCAACAGATCTTGACCACTAAATCTCACAATATGAAATGACTGTGAAGAATGAGGTAGTGAATGAAATGTCAGAGGAGACAGAACAGGAGAAGAGCAGGAACAGGAGGGACAGAGTGTTTGGGCCATATCCAAACTGCTGGCTGTGTGTGGGCATGGGGACCGGGGGAGATGAAGGAGCGGGTTGGTGGAGGGAACAATGGTAATAAGGGGTGTAAGGTGGCGTCCAAGCACAGCTTCAGGCCAGTCTGAATGAGTAGCAAGATGGGGAGGGTAGTTACTATAGCAACACTACAGCATATCAGGCACGCATACATGTGCGCCATTCCTGTTTCACAACTATACACTGCAAAAAGTCCATCACCGAGTCAATTAAAGTGCGAGTCTTAAAATCTTAATGACCTTAAAGCAAGGTAAAGTCAATTGTGGAGATGGGAACTGTGAATTTTCTAAAATCAAGTGTTACTGCAATTTTTTTTCTTTTTAAATCAATTCTGATAAAAGCTAAATATAACAAAGTTTTTGAACCAGGTGTTATTTTTTGTCTTTATCTCACCGTAATTCGATTTTAAGACTCAGTTAAATGGGATGTTTCATGTTAATGGCCCTTTTTACAGTGTATGTAAGCTACAGACACAGGCGGGCTATGCTGACTAAGTATGCTAACACACATTCGGAGTGTGTTCTTACACATGGAGCTCTGCACTGCACTTGTCGCTGGACTTCACTCTCTGCTGACATAAGCAGCAGCTCAAGCTCCTTAATTCTTTGCTCTCTGTCAGGATCGTCCAGGCACGATGGCTGGAATAAACAAACGTCAGAGAGGGGAGGTCAAGAGGACAGGAGGAAATGAAGGTGTTAAGAAAAGCAGACAAAAAAACAGATTTACACATAAAATATTTTAAGGGAGCCTTCGAGATTAACCCCCTTTTTGGCTGTTATTGAATGTTAGATGAAAATAACAGGACATTCAAGTATTTGACTTGGAGTCCAGAGTTAGCAATCACAAGGATATCTAGAGAAAGTCCAGAAAAGTCCCACCAGCATGCAGAGGAAATACTCAAACACTCACCAGAATGAAGCCTGAATTTTCAGGAAGACAGTCCATCATGTGTCCACTGTGAGGATCACACGTATAACCCCCCATCTAAAACACAGAGAATCACACAAGTAAAATACAAGTTAAACCAATTGAGGACAAACTCAAATAAATGATTTAAACACCATACAGTATGAGGAGGAAAGTGAAAGTGAACCTGGTTGGGTCCTGGTATCGACAGGGGACTGCGATCACAGCTCTGAGGCTCAGCTGGAGTTGGGGGGCACAGCCTGTGGTGGCGTCTCTTCCCTCCAGTGTGAGAGGAGGTCATGGTCTTGCTGTTATCTTGCAGGTAACCCTCGTGCTCTACCTTCCTCCTCATGGTGGAGTTCCAGTGGTTCTTGATGGAGTTGTCTGTCCTGTTGGGGAGAAGATCTGAATTAAATAACAAATCACCTCCTCAATTATAGAATAAGCAATGAACAAGCAACGTTATATTACCGTCCAGGAAGAAGCTTGGAGATCTCTGCCCAGCGGTTGCCAAGACGTTTATGGGCCTCATAAATGATTCGATCCTCTTCCTGAGTCCATGAAGACTTCTTCACCTCCGGGTTGAGGTGATTGTGCCACCGTTCACGACATTGCTTTCCAATCCTGCCCTGGAGGTGCTTTGCAATCACTGACCAACGCTTGGGGCCATATTTGTGTACCAGGTCAATAACCTATAAAAACCAAATTGAATAAGAAATATTTGTTTGAAAATTTTGATCTGTAAATCTGAAAAATAATAATCCATACTCCGTCATATTTTACTGTATGAAAGGATGGAATAAAATCTTACTTGGATTCATTCAACAAGCTTGTAAAAAAAGGGGAAATCCGCTCTTTCTACTTTTCTAATAGCCCAAAGCAGCTCGAGCATTCAGAAAGCTTTGACTGCAGCAGCAGAACTTGTTTGGCTGTTTCTCTTGCAGCTGATGTCACTGTTGGCCGCCCCAGCTATTACTGATAGCTCTGTGTTTCTGTTACGATGCCAAGATTTCAGAGGAGCATTCCCAACATTCTTAGAGAATAGTGATCCATTTAAGGAATGCATTGCTCATCTTAGAGCCTTAGAGTTTCACACTGTACAAAGAAGGGCTCAGCTCCAAACTAGTGACATGGAAATTCTGTGTTTTATTAGGGATGACATAGTCAAGGATTTACTTTTCAAAAAAGAAAAAAAGCAAAGTAAGTTTTGGCGGGAAGTACACTTGTGTTTGTGCACAGCCTGTGTTGTTGAAGATACAGGGATGCATATTGTGGCACTTGTGTTCTTTCACTTAGACTAAGCTCCTGACACCCCCCCACATCTTCCTTCTGTCTCACCTATCATTTACATTTTTAGTCAGCCCTCTTTCTGTCCAGAACAGGAACTCCCAGCTCCTCTTACCTTTTGATCCTCCTCTTTTGTCCAGGGTCCTTTCACCAGCTCTGGGTTGAGCACCTTCTGCCAGCGGTGCTGACACTGGCCATCTGTCCTCCCCTGTGACAGACACACAAAACACAACACCTTGTTACACCACACCACTACTTCACAGTTATATTTACTCCTGACAGCTGGAAATAAATCTGTCAGTCAAAACATCCCATCTATGTAAAGTATAGTATAAGTTAATGTGTTTGTTGTTTTTGGGAAAGGACGCACTAGTACTGCATTAACCAATGAGATACTACTCTTAACTTTCACAATGCAGAAATATTACACTTGACTTACTTGAAAAAAGTTGGCTATTAATTTCCAGGACTCAGTTCCATGCTGCTCGACAAGTTTTTTCAGCTTTTCATCCTTGAGAGGGAGGATGAAAGATGGAGTGAAGGATCTTTAGTTTCCATCCAAAGGAACTTTCTACTTTTATTGTATTATTCAATAACAAACAAGCAGTGATTATAAAGATTCCCATGTAATGTACAGCACAAAACTCTTTTTTATTAGTAAGTTAAGTCTCCATTTCACATATCAAAATAACCTACAAAACTTTGTGATACACTTACCTCATCTCGGGACCACTTCACTTTGCACAGTGTCTTTTTATCTTTGCTCTTCTCTTTGCTTTCTGGGTCTGTGGAGATCACCTCTTCATCCTCATCATTGCTGAAACTACAAAGGAGAAAAAGCAGATTTCAGTGACAGAGCCAACATTTCTTTATAAGGTCAATAACTCTAGGAAGGAATAGCAATATAAATATTGAATTGTATGAAAATGGCATGAATCCATATTCGTAAGGAAATTTTCCCAGATTAGACAATAAAGTGCTCCACGAGCAATACAAGGAAGTCAAGTAAAAGGAAGCACAACATGGCAATCAGCCAGAGGCTGAAGGTGATTTGAGCAACATATTAATAATATTAATAATAATTAACAGTGTATTAGTACAACAACTCTACTTCACCAGAACCCTTTTAGAGTAAGAGAGGAAGACATGTATTCATGTATGACTACATGAACACAAAATTCCTCTCCACTGACATAAGAAGTTGGCAAGTAACACTGGACGTCTGTGTTCCCAAAAAAGTTGCTGCTGGGCAACACTTTCTTTGTGGTAGTGGAGCAGACTTTAATTAATAGAGAAGAAATTAAGTCTGCTGTTGCCAAGAGTTGTTGCCATACAGTAAACCTCAGCAATCACACATACACACACAAGGGGAAAACACTCCTCTCCTGAGGTTTTCTACAAGCCTTGTAGGGAAGCCCGAAAAGGCAATTGAGTTTTTGTGTGGCCTGATTCCCTCACTAAAGCAAAGCGAAGTGGGGAAATGAGTCTGGTCTGTGCTCTGAACAGGAAGGAGGGACGTGAAGGGGCTGAGGGAAAGGGGCGATGAACAGGCTCTTTCACCTCCAGAGGTGTACGAGTGTGCGTCATTTAGATGGAGGAGGGGTGTGGTCAGGGGAACTGCAGCGCTCTAACGGTCCAGTCGTTCAAAAAGTTTCAAAAACAGACAGACTTATATAACACCTTCATATTTTATTTAACACATTATTTACCCACTTAACTTTGATATAGGCAGATAATACAAATTGAAGTGTTTTCAAAAGTGATGAAAGACTTGGTTGTAAATATAGCAACCATTCATACACCATCAGTCATAAACAATTACCGGATTTTGTTATCAAACCATGAGCACACACACACACACATCCATTGTATGTGGTTGGGATGAAACATAAACATGCTGGATCATGATCATCCAAAAAAAAGCTTCAACCAAGTTATTTACATTTTTGATTGATCCATTTTTTTAAACAAATTGTTTTCTTTCATTTCTGAATAATAATTTCCTTCAACCTAAGTTTAACTCTCAAAATGTTTGTTAGACTCCAAAACTTATTTACCTCATGACAATAAAAGTCAGTCGAACAAGCAAATGTTACAGGTGGAACAATTATCAAAATAGTTACCACTTAATATGGTGATCGCCTAACCATCTGATTAACTGTAGTTTATCACAAATCAAATGTTTTCAATATGAATAATTATCAAGATTGACAACACTTGATTGCAGTATTGTGCAAAATCAATATCCTGTCTATCTTGGTCAGTAAAATTCAACAGCCCAATATAAGTCATCAAGTCTGCTCACAAACTGTTTTGTTTGTTTTCTTAGGTACTTTCTGTCAGGGGGCATTCCTGAAAGAAGGGCTTTGAGAACTATAGGCAGCCTACTTTTCTCCACTGGCTTTATTTACCTAGTGGAAGAAACCTCGTTTTCCAAGAGAGCAAAATGTTAAAAAGGTCAAATGTAAAAAAACAAAAACAAACACTATATCTGTGCTTTTCTTTTGATTTGGATAAAACAGCATCTGACCCTTATTATCTAAGAAACCTGTCACCTTCAAGTAACGTGTTTCCAAAGAGTCTGCTGTTTGACAATGGGCTGCGCGCCTCCCATGCATAACAAACACATGTTCACATGTAGTGTAAGTGGAACAACAACAAAGTAACAACAACCATGCAAACTCAGGATTTGACGTTTGAGGATTTATAAGCCACAAATTTCAACTTTAACATTTTACACTACCGTTGCTTATTCCCAGGCTGCCGGAGAATGCACACTGTTACTCGTCCATTACTATATATTGATATGTAGCAGAACTGTGCAGGTGCACGTACACAACACGCATATTGTCAGATTAGATCGCATACGTTGTGAAAGTCTTCTCTGCAGCGACACCATTATTTGCATTGAAGCTGTGACAAACAGATGGCTCCCGCACATGATGACAAAACACCAGTGCACCGTTGCTGCAGAAAACACCCACCTGCGTGTCTTCACGTTGTCCATGGCCGCCTGTGCGAGGACTGGACCTTCTCGGAGACGAACCTGTGCGTGGCAGCTCTCACATTAACACGTGTGTATCCGGACAAGTCGCTGTCAGTCATCGCTGGTCTCCTCTGGGACGCGCTAGTATCCAGCTAGCATTGCTCGGCTAGCTAGCGGGCTAAGTCACTGCTGTACCCGGTCCATAACGCTACGCTCTCTGGGTGAACGCCCGGCTCGTCGTCGGTAACATGTTTCCAGAGGGACGCGTCGCTGTGGGTTTTCTGCCTCTTGTTTCTTTAGGTGAAATAAATTCAGTTATGGAGCTGATACGTGGACAGTGGCTGCTGCTGCCTCCTCTCCGCTCAGACTGATCCTCTGTCAGTTCTCTCCTCCGCTCGCCTCACGATGTTTGTCCATCCCGCCGATTCTCGCGCCCAGCCCTCTGCGCAGGCGGCCTCGCCTCTGATTGGTCAGAAACGGGGGCTGTGAATAGAGGAGTCAACACTCGAAAGTGATTGGTCGCGAATGAGGCGGGTGTTCACGTGCGATTGGTCAGAGGTCGGTGGGGGCTCGGTGTCATTGGTTGAACCTCTGAGGAGGCGGGCGTTAGGTTGGAAGGACTCTGCTGTCACCTTCTGCAGCAGAATGGAGCTTTTCATTCAGAGGGGGTGCAGGGGCCCTTGAGGGGGGTGCAGGGGGTTCAAGGCCCCCTGCTCATTTCAAGTGACATACATGCATTGCTATCTAATTTGATAAAACCTTTATTTTGTTAATATCAAATTACACAAATCCAGACAAGAAGACGGCTCTACTGAAACTAGGATATAAGATTTCTACCAAAGGCTGCAGATCTGTATAGGAGTCCATTGGGGCCTAGAGAGCTCAATGCACTGCAAATGAAGAAAACAAAATAACGTGCAAATCAAGAAAGAAACTTTATCAACACGCTGCAAATTAAGCAAACAATAATGGAAATGTGTGACCTAAAAAAAGTGATGAGCCTGTCTGTCGTTTAATGTGAAGTTATTGAAGTCTGCTACTCGTCAGTGGAGATGGAATTTCACAAAGCATTCAACTACAGCCAGGATCATCACCTCAAACATTTCCGTTGTCTCTTTGGCAAATTGGAGCACATTTCTTTATTTGCATGTTTTGGGACTTTTGCAGTGCATGCATTATCGGCCACTGTACTCATGCCACTTAATGCTGCTGCTTCCCAAAACTGACGCATTTTGCACAGCCACTCATTGTGGTGCCTCGTAATACATGGTTGCAATCTTCCTGATAATAACAGCATAACATCTGAGAAGGTTTGAGGCTTGTATCTTTAAGTAAAAGCTCTAGAGAATATTTGCTGCTTTCAAACCTGCTGCATGGTCACATTTCATTCTGCTGCAACTTTAAACGGAACTCTGCCGACACCCTCTGGGCAAAACTTATACAACCGCGGTTTAATGGCTGTATGCATGCAAATCAAACAATTTAAAATTCACCACTAAAAATGTGTTTAGTTCATCTCTGACTGAGCTGAACATCTCAATACGTTTCTCTGTTTCTTTTAATGTATCACAGCACATGTGATTATTGTTTTTCCTGCATTATCAGCATAGTAAACTAGTGCAGGATGGATATTTGTTATTTTCTACCTGTCAAAATGAAGTGGTAGTTTATATTTCTGAGATGTTTTCCCACACTTTGCATTTGTAATCAAGTGATTGATGAATGATTGCATGATAAGTTGAATTTAGTCATAATTGTTATTTCATATCACAACATCTAATCATGACTTTTATGAGCCATAAATTCTCGCTCTGTCTCTATGTAAATGTACTATGTGGTTGATCTGGAGATGAGTCATGTCCTGTCTTTCTACCTGGAGGTGACACCGTTAAACTGTCTGACTTCTCAATGTTGTCATTCCTGTGTGAACCAGTTTGCATTGAGAGAAACACATCTTAAGACCGGAAATGCCTTCCAAAATAAAAGCTTTTGGGGATCCTGTAGATTCTTAAGAAATAATATGGTGAAATGTAATCACACACAAAAAAGAAACTATTATGATAGTGTAATACTATACAAAAATACAATTAAAAGTATCTAGAGACTTATTTTCTGTAGCTCTATACAAAACTAATTTAGTTAATCAAGATTTCAACTTTTTTTAAAACTTATTTAATTTGTATAGATCTTGCATATATTTCATACAGAGCAGGAGTGTACATGCATGTGACTGTTAAGGTTCGATTATCAAATGGACAAATGTCCCTGGCTCCAGACTCTCCAGAGCCCCAAAAGCTCCATGACGTTAACTAGTAGTCTGCTGGTTTATGATGCTGTAAACGGTAACAGCAGTTTTATAAGCTCACTATATGTCCTTCAACTCCTTGTTTGTTAAAATCGTGCATAATCCCTTTAAATATATAGACGAGGTGGATTGATCCAGCGATCAAGGGTGGAACATAAACTATTGGTAAACTACTGTATATAAATTCTGCATAAAAGTAAATGTCCAGTATTTAAATTCCTCTTAAATCAAAATAAAAAAAAACTTCAAGCACATAAATAGAGGTCTACTTAATCCCGAAAGTAAAAGTACAGCCCATGAAAGTTGATGTTATTATCCATCATATAATTGTATTAGTGCTGTTGCATTTAAAGGGTAAGCATACTTCTATAATAAATAACAAATCATGTTATAAACAATAAATAAAGGTGGTTATAAGCTGGTCGTATGTTTTCTATATGTTATAGGTTATTTGTTACACATAAACATGCATACTAAGACCCTGTATTGTGGGTTTTGTGTGTAGTACATGGTTTTATAATGTATCCATGGTCTTGTTTTGAAGGGCTGTACCGGACGCACATTGTGTTTCCTGCAGGGATTGACAGTGGTAGTATCTGTGAGGTCCCGTGACAAATTTCATTGGAACTTTCTTCGTCCTGGTCAGATCGATGTTTCCTTCACCTCCTCCTGTCAGACGCTCCTGGACAGAGAGGAGACGCACTGTCAGTCCATGGGGGGCTTCTGTCCTCACTAACGCGGGACACATGTTCAGTTCGGGGACGGTTTAGACGCTTTGGAGACAAATATCCTCACTGGAAACTACGGAAATACATGAACACCGCGTCAAAGTCCTGAAAGGTACGTGATGTCCATGGAGACGTTACCTTGGTCTCATGTTGGCTAACTTCGCGTTGACTCTACTGGCTGCCTAGCATACCGAGCACTTTAGAGATTTAAGTAGCCTAACGTGTGTGTTTCATCAAAGTTGGCCATTACATACGTTTTTTTTTTGTCTTGGAGGAAAACACTAAAAGAAGAGAAGAATTTAAACGGAAGAAACACAAAGCTAAGTAAGCTAATTTGATGTAGCAGCTTTAAGCTATGTGTGATTATGAGTGTTAGCTGTTTTGTTTATAGTGTGTGTGGCATTTGAGAGCCTGTACGAACATGTCAGCCCTCTCATTGTGTGTGTGTTTAATTTGACTGGTGCTCCTCCTTCTCTGGCTCATTTCTCCTCTTTCTTTTTCCTCCTGGCCTGGACAATTCTTCCTGTAACACACGTCATCTCTGCTGATATTCCTCTTTAAAAGTGGTACAGGTGTGAGAACACACAAAAGTTTCTGGATGACCCAAAAAAAAAAAAAGATTATGAGACTGCTGAGAAACATGGTTCTGACAAAAAGACACAAAGTAGGTGAGGTCACCCACCTACACATAATTCTACTGTGACTGCAGAAATAATGTGTCAGACCTCATAGACCAGTGTTCACTAGAAAATGAGAGCGGTCCAGATAGAGAGAGTGTGAGTCAGAGCAATTATATATTTGAATATTAGATATAGCATGTGTGTGTGTAGTCGACAACTGACAGTCAAATCAAACAAAGTACATGCTGTCAAAATGAAACCCCACAGTTGAGTCACCTGTGTGGAATTGCCTGTGGCAAACCACCAAACTATGTAAATTTCAAATGCACCTTTGCATTGACAGGAACGATAGCTTCTTTTATAATCATTCTCTTCATTATCTTTTCTCCTCTGACTATGCTTCAATTTCTTTCCCTAACATTTGTCTACAAAGAACATGTTCTTTTTGTGTGTGTAACAAGACAAGTTCTCAGCTATGAAAGATGAATTGAATACGTTTACACAGTCTACTATCCTACAGCGCTGTGATAACTGTGATGTGGGAGTGTAAAAAAACTGTCACACTAAAAACACATGAATTCAAATGTTCGCATGTCGACCTGATGTGCAGAGAATTCGCTCTGCCATACCCAGCTGGGGCATTGAACGTTGTGTCATGTCTAATTTCCTATATGGGTGATGAGGCATTTATTTTCCCCATGCAGTGCACTCATTGATCCAGACCTGTTTCTAATAGGAAGTTTGAGACACAGTGGATGTGTGTAAGCTGTCTGGACGTCAGGTCGGGGTAGGAAGTGGTCCAAATGCTGAGGTTGACTCGAGTTCAAAATGCTTCAGCTGCACGTCTTCAGTCACAGACCTGACTCTGTTGCATTATAATAAGACACTTACAAGCTAGAATCATGTTTGTCTTTCAGTTTTATCCTGGAAATAACAGATATAATTGAAATTTGTCCAAACTGCTAAGGGGTATTGTTAAACTTTTTTTAATGAATGTGTTGATGTAAATTTGAAGGTTATAACTGAAATAGTGGGTTTTGCTCTTCACGTACTGATGAGCAAGTTGTCTCCACTTAACATTCTCAGCTTGTATGTGTCTCATCTATCAGTAGACAACATGCCTGTTTGAGCTTTCACATTGGATTAACCATCATTGGCTGACTTCTTCTTTGTTTTCTCACTAAAAAGTGCTTGTCACACGTCACCCAGCCACACACAGAGAAAAATGTATGTGCAACATCCTCAAAGGATACCGGCACCGGCAAGGATGTGTGTGCTCAAGCTGTGCAGGAAGTCAGCTATTTTTGATCCTGTGTAGTAACCCAGCATATTTGCGCCTGTCACCACAAGTTAATTCATGTTGTGGCAGGAATGCAAGGGATGCTGGGCTGGTGCAGAAGCAAGGGAGATTGCGTAATGTTCCTCTTTTCCACTTCATTATCATCATTCCTCATAACAATCTTGTCGGCATCTGTTTGTGGGTGTGGTAAGAAGCGGCATTCCTTATGAAGGAGAAGCAGTGTCAGCTGAAAATGGAAGCTGCACCAGACAGTTATAGGTTGTTTCCCCCTTGAAGAGAAAATATTTCAGGAATGTTAAAAAGCGGGACCTACCCTGTGATGTCCAGAGTCAGTTAACCGTAAAACAGGCACAAATGTGGCTCAGGGAAGTGTGCGGGCACTTATATGTGTACCAGCCACAGTTGCACAGACCTCATGTTTCAAACAAACAAGATGCTCTAAGCAACTAACCTTGT